GCACATTACATTGGGGTCTTGTTGTTTAATTATGTTTCATTATATGATTAAACAATAACTTATCTATACTTCTACTGCTCAGGTATTTCTGACAAGGTTATTGTCAACATTCTTATGCAGGTCTTGTGCTTACAAGCCCTTGAGCTGCTGTTTTAGGAAATTTGTATCCTAAAATTTGCTACATATTGCCAAATTTCTTTCCAAATTGTTCTAATATAAATACCAGTTTGGCCAATAAAACAGAATTTCCCATTTTGCCACATTTTCACCCATACTTGGTAATAATTTCTTTAATTTTTCCAAATCTTGGGGTATGAATCGGTGATATCATTAGAGTGAGTAGTAGAAGCTGTATTTAAGAATAGTGACTCCAGGGCTGGGGTTGTAGCTCAGTGGTAGAGTGCTTGCTTCCTACATTCAAGGCACTGGATTCGATACTCAGCACCACATAAAAATAAATAAATAGAGATATTGTGTCCATATATCTGGGCAAAAAACTTAGTTTCTCTATCTGTAAATGTGGATAATAATCCTACTTAACTCATATAAGACTCACATGGGGATTAAATGAGTCAATATATGTAAAGTATTTAAAACGGTATCTGTTCTGTAGTAAGCTCATGCAGGACTTATCAGTGACAACTTATCCTAATAATTTTTGTAGTACAAGAAAATCCCTTATGTGCTTCAGTTTTTCATATCCTTTTAGTCTCTTTTAGTATGGAATACTTCATCTGATTTTTATTCTTTCATGACATTCCTATTTCTGAAGAATGCAGGTCAATTCTTTTTAAGACTGTTCATCAATATGGGAAAATATAATGCTTTCTCAGAGTTACATCCAGGTTGTGCATTACTTGTCCTTCTCAAAAAGGGTCATGTGACCCTCCAGGGAGTTCTGAAGCTGGGAAGGACTTTGAAAATTTCCTCAGCTGGATGGAGGGGGTTGTGTTTTTTACACACACATTCACCTCCCTTGCTGCCCTTTTGAACAGGCTGCCCCGCTCATGAATGTGACCTTAGGAAAGTTGACTGTTTTAAGCGAAGGGATGTTTCCAGAAGGGTATGACAGCTGAGTTTTTTCTATTGTGATACTCCAATAGCTGGACAGAAATTCCCTAGGTCTCGAAAGGAAAGCTGGAAGACACATTACGAATTTACTACATGGATAATGCAAGTTGAAGAATAATATGAACCATGTCAAGTCTTTAATAGAAGATCTTAAGGAAAATAATATTAAATTTTGTCTCAGGTACTTGTATATACAGTAATAGTATAAGATAATTGAGTTCAGATTTTTGGTCATATCTGGTAGGTGGAAAAGGGGAGGGTATCTATGAATTTCTGGCAATCCTTGTAGTGATTCTTTTAAAAATAAAAACAAATTAAGATATCTTAAAGTTGGATGAGAGCATTTGTGTTTCTGGTATTGTTCTGTTTATATCTGTAATGTTTCATAATAAAAATGTTACTGAGATCATAAAAATCATGTGAGCATTTCCTGGCCACAACAAATGATCCATGCTGAGTTTTAAATAACTTTGTTTTAATTACAAAAGGCATTTGTGCTTATGGTAAAAGATCAACTACACAGAATTACATCAGATGAGAAATAATAGCCCTTTTTACCCATACTCTGTATTCTCAATATACTTGCCCAGCTGAAATCATTCTTAAAAGTGTCTTATATTTATTTTTATAAATATTCTGCTGCTTTCTTCAATTAAAAAAAATGAATCATTTCATATATATGTTCTACAACCTACCTTTTAATTTTTTATTTAACAATAAATATTGGGTATGTTTCTTTTATCAGTATTTGAATACCTAATTTATTCTAATGTCAGTATAATATTCCATTGAATGACTTCGCTATTTTTTTTTAGTCACTTCCCAAATGATAGCTTTAAGGTGTCTTTACATGTTTCCTGTGAGGATGTATGGCAGGAGGAAATAATGCCCAAAGCTCTTAGAATCTTTTTTTTTAAGAGAGAGAGAGAGAGAGAGAGAGAGAGAAAATTTTAATATTTATTTTTTAGTTTTGGGTGGACACAACATCTTTGTTTATATGTGGTGCTGAGGATCGAACCCAGGCCGCATGCATGCCAGGTGAGCGCTCCACGGCTTGAGCCACATCCCCAGCCCCTCTTAGAATCTTTACCTCATGAATTATCATTTCTTCTTAAATATATTCTTCTCCCCTCATCTTATTTAACCTCATTAATATTCCTCACCATTTAAATTATGTATTCATATCTACAAAGAATTTAAGAATCACTCATTTGTGGGTTGTACTATGGAGATCAGCTCAAAGGTTGGTGATTTCAGGTGGGGGATGGGTAGAAACAAATGGACTGCCCTAAGAGATTCAAGTTTGTTTTAGAGTATCTTGAGTCTCTGAAGAATATTATTATTAGAGGCATTGTTGCAATTTAGAAATGAGCTGTCTCCCCAAAGCTCTTGTGAGGCAATATAAAAATTCTCAGAGATGAAATTATTAGATTATGAGAGTTGTAACTAATTACTGAATTAATCCACTGATGTGGATTAACTGGGTGATAACTGTAGGCAAATAGGGTGTGACTGGAAAAGGTAGGTCACTGGTGGAGTTCCATTGTGGTTTATATTTTTTCCCTGGTGAGTGGAGCTTTCTCTGCTTCTTTGTTGCCACATTGTGAGCTGCTTTCTTCCACCATGCCCCTCTGCCACAATGATCTGCATTTTTGGACTTAGAGCTATGGAGATAACCAACCATGAATTGAGATGTGTGAGACCTTGAGCCCCATATCAAGTTTTCCTCCTGTACATTGTTCTTATCAGGTCTTTTGGTCACGACAATGCAAAAGCTGAGTAAAACAGGCTTCTTCACAAAGAAGTCTGCATATTCACAGATCCCTTGGGTGTAGTGAGATCCATGTAAATAATTTACGATCATCCAGGTTTTCTTTTGCTGTAGAAGAAAATGTCTTCTTTTGTATCTTCCTATTTTAGGTCACCCTTGGTTTTAGTCAGCTTTTTTTTCACTGCTGTGACTAAAAGACCCACTCAGCACAATTGTAAAGGAAGAAAAGTTTATCAGGGCATTCATGGTTTCAGATGTCTCAGTCCAAAGGCAGAAGGCTCCATTTCTCTGGGCTCAAGGTGAAGCAGGACATCGTGGCTGAAGAGTATGGCAAAGGGAAACAGCTCACATGATGATCAGAAAGGAGAGATCTCCACTTACCAGATGCAAATATATACCCAAAGCCATACCCCCAATGGCCCCACCTCCTCCAGCCATAGCCCACTTGCCTTCAGATACCGGTTAATGCCTATCAGGGGATTTATTCACTAATTGGGTCATGACTTTCACAACTCAATCATTTCTCATCTGAACCTTCTTGCATTGTCTCACATGCGAGCTTTTTGGGGGACACCTCATATCCAAACAAAGTCCAAAGAGGCTGAACATATTAGCTGAAGTTTTACAACTAGTTTAATAGAAGAGCCAAGATCCAAGATCCCTGTTCAGCACCTCATTGTTTCTAATTTATTTAAGTTTTTGAAATCTGTAAGCTAGGAAACTTTCAAGATGGCTGTGGACTAATATTATTTTTCCATTGAAATGGGGAAAAGTAATTTATTAACTATTTTCATGTTAGTTTGTTCATGTCAGAGAGTTTCAAGCTATTAACATATTTGACTTCTTTCCTGAAAATTAAGGTTACACAGCAATTTGGAAAAGAAACTCAAAACCAATCTATTCACTCTCCAACTTTCACTGAGTAATTTTCAAACTTTAATAATAGTAAAAAAAAGGTAATATACTAGTTCCACTTTTAAGAAAAGTGCTAAAGTATAATTTATCAACTGCAACTTATTTTAAATATTTGTGGCCTATATTTTAATGAGGGACTACTAAGGGCAATGGCGTGAAGTAAATTTGCCCTGCTATTAGGGGAAAAAAATCACAGTAGTATAGAATTAAAACAATCCAATCATGTTGCCTTCTTGTGAATGAAACATATGGATTGAAAGCTAAGGAGGGATCCAAATATAGGACTTAAACCACACTAAATTATAGGTTTGGTTCATAAATTGCTGGTTGAGACTGTGATTACACAATAATAAGTGACAAACTGTGCTTAAGTCAGGAATTCATTCATTCTCTCTGCATCTTAAAGAGACCAGTGATCATGGGCACCACTGGTACCTGTTGGAAATAACTAGAATCTACCCTAATGACTTAGCACCAAGACAGAATTTGGATTTGTCCTGCTAATTCTAGAGCTGAGGATTGCTTTCACGATGCTATTCTGCCTATTTTTTGGATTAATTGCTTGTCATATTTGCTCATTTTTGATTAATCATCTGCCATATTTGTATTGTTTGCACTCTCTTTGGCAAAACTACTCAAATATCTTGCTGACTGAAATTGTGAATTCTCTGCTCTGTTTGACTTCCTATTTCATGTTATAATTATCTGTGAGGATGCATGGTACAGAACTTCCTTCAAACTGTCCTGTTTTCTAATTCGGAGGGTCTTTTTACTAAATTATCTACAGGTTATCTTACCAAATCATTACCCTTACAGTGAGTATGTGTGTGTGGAATGGTATGTAAGGACGTTTATCCTACCCATCTTCCCTGAGATATCACTGTGGTCTCATAAACATCTAGCTACAGCCAGGTCTTAGAAACTGGGTTTCACCAATGCCAATGCTGGGGCTGTAGCACTTGAGTCTTTCCTTCCCTTTTAATACATCATAAATTTTCAAGCCGTTCTTCAAGCTACTGGCATTATTTCCAATCTTGGGAATAGACTAGAGTAAACTTTTTACCTTCCACTCGTCATCATGTTAAAAGTAAGTCTGCAGTGCACACACATACAAGGTCTTGAGCAAAAAACACATAAGAAGCAGTATGAGTTGCTACTTCCCCGTGTTAGTCAGCTTTTCCTTGTGGTGAACAAAATGCTTGACAAGAACAACTTAGAGGAGGAAAAGTTAATTTTGGCTCACAGTTTCAGAAGTTTAGTCCATGGGTTGGCCAATGGCATTGCTCTGACCACAAGATGTGGCAGAAGGACATGGTGGAGGGGCACTGCTCTATTGTTCATGGTTGCCAGGAAGCACAGGAAGGAGGTGAAGGAGCTGCAGAAAAAATGAAACCTTACAGGATATGCCTCTAGTGACCCACCTTCTCCAGCTGCACCTAACCTGCTTACAGTTAACATCCAGTCAGCCCATTCGGACTAGGATGGATTGATTAGGTTACATCTCTCACAATCCAGTCACTTTATCACTGAACATTCTTGCATTAACACAGGATCTTTGGGGAATACTTCACATTCAAATAATAACATTCCCTTAGTGAGAACAACCAGAGACTTACCTCCACTGGGTAAGTCCCTGGCCATACTTACTCTTTCCATCCACTCGTAAGAAACAGATAGACTCAAGTTTCTCCTAAGAGAATGTCCAAGGCTGGGACATCATGGGAAATGTCTCCCATGCACACCAAGTATCAGTCCTCTTTCTTAACCTGGTGAGAAACTGCTGCTTTCTTTTTGACACTTTGTGGAGAGATTTCCTATGATTGATTGTAAAAAGTGGAAATATGTACCCAGTGCCACTAAAGTTACTTTGTGCTTCTGCTCAGATGTATTGATGTCATTCTGCTTGAGGTTCTACTTTTTCATCTCCAAAATCATTATAGTAAAAGCCAAAAACACTGTTCACAAAAGTGCTTTCTTGGTCAGTAGGTGGTATCAGTATTGTCCTCTGGCCCAGTACTCAAATCTCAGTCACACCATATTATGACGATCACCACCATCACTGGAACTGCACATGGTGTCTTGCGTTCTCAGGCTTATATAGAATTTATTCAAAAAACTCATTTTACTTATGTCTGGAGAATCCATTTGAAACATACCAGATATTTCCTTTTACAATTAGGATCAGAATCATTAGGGTTAGTCTTGTCAGGTTGTTCCTTCAGTGCCTCTCTAATACCTAGCAGAAGACCTGGCTGGCCTATGGTAGCTCATCAGTACATAGATAATTTTTTAGCATAAAAATTAAATTATCTTTTAGAAGGACTTTCCCATGCAGTTCTCAGATTTATTATACTTTGATAGACTGCTACTTACGCCTTCTAGTTAAAATTGCTCTTTTATTTAGAGGTTCATCTTTTGTTTTCAATTCAAACTTCAGTACAGAGTTTTTCTCAAAGGGCAGTACACTAGCAGGCTGTCCCTGCAGTTCCTCAGACATAATTGTATTTTTGTTTAGAAAGTGTTCAGTTTTATCTTCTTGAAGTTTGAAATTCCATCTTAACTCATGTGTCCCTGGCACACATAAATTGGCTAAATAAATACATATATTTTAAATTGTGTGTATACATGTCTGTGTTTTGTGTGTGTGTGTGTGTGTGTGGGTATGCACACACACACACACTGTTCTGAAGTAGGACACGGAGAAGGAAAGAAACCCATTGAATAATAAAAAATATATTCATAGCCCAGCAGCAAGAACGTTTGACTGGAGAATTATGTAACTAGATTACAGATATATAAGAAGTTTAAACCTCAATTTTCCATACATACAGAATGAAAAAGTAAGATTTAAAAACCTGAATGACTGTAGTGACCTCTCATTGATCTTCCTGACTCCTGCATCATCTTTGGGAAAGCTCTCTTCTCTATTTTTAGGATGCTATTTCTTACATGCATATCTCTCTTGGCTTCTACCTTCATCAATGCACTTCAGGGTTAAATTCTTAGCTTAAAATCTTCTTGTCTCCACTTTGCTTTCTCGTTCCTGTCTCCATATGTGGCTGTGGCCATTAGGTTATGATTTCCTAACTCCTGCTTAGCCCTTTCATAGTTTAGCATTTGCACATGCTACCTCCCTGCCTGGAATGCCTTTCTGTTCCTTACCAGCCAGCTTCTGCCAGTTACTTAAACACTTTTAAGACTCCATTTTGTTTTCCCTTCAAAATATACTTCATTTTATTCTCCTACACTAAAAAACTAGTTAGCTGTTCCATTCCTACACTCCTGTGGAACAACATGTTTATCTTTTCACAGATTATCAAAGATCATATTATTTCACATGGAACCATGTGAAATTACTAATTTTGGATAATTTTTACTGAAAAAATAACAGATGACTATTTTATGTTTTAAAAGAAGCCTGAATTTATTGGTTTGATTTATACTCAATCCCTTTCATTTATTGGCTAGGATATCCTATTTCATCTAAAGATTTAAGCCCCTGGAGCTTAAGGAGAAGGTTTAGAGTAGAAAAATACAGACTACTGAGTCGAGGTAGGCAAAAGCACCTTCATGGTTTTCCCTCCTTCCTGCCCTAAAAGAGTCTTCAGCAAAGGCACCTGAGGGAGATAATTAGGAAAGAGAGTGCCTGGGTTAGGAATATCATTATGCCCACGAGCTTGGCTAGCTGTGGTGGTCTCAGTCCTTGACCACAACTTTGTGTAGAGATGGCCATGCACTGGCTTTTGTACCAAGTCTGGCATGAGAAGGCATTTTCCCACCCTAAGACCTGACAAGGAAAGCCTTTCTCAGGCTTGAAAAATCACACATAGGTTTTTAATAAGTAGATGGGCTCCTCAACTCTGTTAGGTTCATTTCAGTCACCTTTTGAACAACACCTTCTAAGGTTGGTTTCGGAAGAATCCCTGTTTTGTGTTTGGCTCATGTCTTGTCCATCTTTTCTCCATGAAAGCTGGGAATGTGATCAATTCTTCTTGTGCTGTCACTAGCACAGGGAGCCAGCAAGTCTTTCATAGTTATCCTCTTTTATTCATGGGGCCTCTGGAGTTCCCAGCTAGGATTTTGTGTGATCCCATGAGAACGTTCACCTTTGCATCTAACAAGTGGAAAGCATTCATTCCCTTTGCTGTTCCCCACAAGAAAGGATATTATGCTGTAATGTTTAATGTAAATTGCCAACTTGATTGGATTAGGATGCCGAAAGGATTAAGAGGATTATGGGAGTGTAGAGGAGGGTGTGTCTAGGAATGATTGGCATGTGGGATAGCAAACTGAAATGGAGACCCTCCCTAAGAGTGGCAGCACCATCCAATAGGATTATGGTTTGGATGGAATAGGTGGAGGAACAAGGAAGCAGCACTAGATGCAAGCTCATTTTTCTTGAATGGGTTCTTGATTTGGGCTGCTTCTGAGGATGTCAGACTTTGGCTGCTTCTTCACACTTCCAAAGCAGATTCTCCAGAAGTCTTTAGTCTGGGACTAGGTTAGCACTGTTGATCTTTCTTGTTCTGGGGCTTTAGCTTCATGGACTTTGCAGCTACTGGTTCTTCCAGCTCTCCGTCTGCAGACAGCTAATGTGGACGATCTTGCTTCTGGTCGTGTAAGTCAATGTAGTAAGTCCCCCTTTTATAATTATGTTTCCTGTTGATTCTGGTCCTCTAGAGAACTCTAATACATATGCCATCATATTAAAAGTTTTTCTAAGACATTATTTTTCTAAGCCCCATCAACTTCAACAATTTCTATAACTCTGAGATGACCATAAATATAAGGATTATCAAAAACACTTTGTCTTGTAAAAATCTTGTGTAGTTGTTTTTACCCATACTTTTTGAATATGGGAATGTTTACTGTGCATTATATTTTGTTCAGCCTTTTGGAAAACTAGCCAAAGTGGAGTCAAAGTATAAGCATTCCATTATAGTTAAAATACTGCTTAGAAGGAACTAATGTCATTAATACATCCTGATTTTAAACTTGAGAAAAATAAGGCCCAAAAGAAGTAAAATAACATTTAATTGATATTATTCATTTTATCATAGTATTGGAAACTTAATTATTTTATTTAATTCTTATAACCATTTTCATAACAGTTTCACTAATAGTATGATTTGACAGAGAATAAATAATGACTTTAATCTAATTTACTGTTAGGATTATATAAAATAGAATAAATAAAGTCACTGGCAGGGGAATGATCACTTGTGGATTCACAGAAAGTATAAGAACCATCCTTCTCATACCACTTTTCTCCATATTCCTTCTCTAAAACCACACATATCTCAAAGCATTTCTAATAAAATATAAAGTCACTTAACTATTTTTCATTTGAAATTAGGATTAATGTTAACACTTCCCTTGTTCTATTGTATGTCCTAGAAAAGGAAGAACATATCTGGGGTGGGAGAGTGGGGATTGTTTTGTCTGAATGTAAGAGAAGAGGAAATTTCACAAAACAAACACAATAAAGATTAAAAAAAATTAAAAGATGAATGCCTGGAATAGAGACACCAATGGTTCTGAAGGAAAAGATCTTAGTGCAGTGATGAAATCTATAAATTGATGGAGAGATTGTTTCTCTCAAATAATTAATGATTAATCTACGAGCAAGTCTTACTTGGTAAATAAATGACCTGGGTAAGCATTAAATTGGGCAGCTAGACCTCTAAAAACACAGATAAAATTTTTTAAAAATGAAAAAATCATACATGATAGCTGAATAATCACAGTGCCTGGAAGTCAAATGCATAATTTCTTGAGTAGATGACTTATATGCACCACAAGCACATGCCTTAGATCAGTAAGTAGGAGCAAATTGGATTTCTTGATTATTGAGTATACACACACACACACACACACACACACCCTCTGATCGGAACAAGAAGATCATTTTTGGCTCTGTTATTCTCACTGTTGACCTGTGGAGAAAGGATTTTGTGAGAATTACTGCCCACTGGGAAATTTCAGGTTTATAAAATATCTGGCGATCATCTCAAGAGAAAGATGCTATTCCAAAGTGAAATTAATTCTGAAGGTCCTACCTTCCTCCCCAGATATAATTAGGCACATCAGGAAGCACTAGTTGTATCTTTCTGAAATGCCAATTTCTCTATCAAGTCTTGATCAAATACCTACTATTAGTCACTATAACAGTAAACTATACCTGACTTGTTTGTCTTCTGACATCCTCCATAAAATAGCTTGCTAGTTCTGATGAAGCTGTATTTCCATATAATCATTTTTTTCTTTGTTCCATTTAGAGGTTCAATTTTATCAATGGTGACAGGACTAATGGAGTCCAAATTTTTATTTGAGAATCAATTATTTGTCTAACTATGGTTCCAGGCATAGTTTTTCACATGAGAGCAGTGGTGGGGAGAAATAAATCTGCACTTGATTTGAAAGGCACTGGGCTTTGAACTTTGGGCAGTACTACAGAGAATTTGCTTGGCTTTGAACTTGATTTCAAATTGCAAAATCCCCATAGTCACCTCAGAAGTGAATATTTAAGAACAGGAGTTCTGCTCTGAGAGGCCAGTCTTCAAAACTCTAATCTGCTGTCTGGATAGCAAGCAGTTCTTGGAGTTGTGTTCCTTGTGCTTTCATCTCAAGAAATCTGTCCCCATGAATGGTGACAAGTAGAAGATTGTGGGACCCAAGACAGCAGGACTGTCCCTTTTATTTATAATTTAGAATAGGACTTTACTACTCAAGGGAATGTTGGAATTTAAGCAGCATAATGCATTCACAAAAGCTTTGCTAGCATAGGAAGGAGAGTCAGAATTTACTTACTCAAGATATGACCTGTGCGCTTAGAGTACATCCTATTACCCGAGATTGGGACTTGTCAGTGATAAAAATTCTTCCAAGCCACAAGAAATTCTGACAATGACCAGGCCTGTTCTTAACACCTTCAGGGCCTAGAGTAGGAATAAAAATATGGAGACATAACTATATGTTTAAATATTTAATCTCAGATCAAACATCTGTTAAAGTGAGTTCTTTGATCTTGAAAATATTTGAATATTTTTGAAAAATATTTTTGAAAACATGAACCATTCTTTGGTCTTGAAAATATTTCTTTCTCATGCTTAAAGTGGTTTTAAATTTGAAAAATTATATTTCTATGTTGAAAGGCATCAAAATATAAAAACAATCTCAATCTCTAATTTCATGTGTCTAGAGAATTAGCAGTGATAATTTCCACAGATAAGACATGTATGACTTAGATTATATTTATATTGGGCCTATATAATTTATCTTCCCTTCATTCTCATAGTCACTAGGCTTAAGATTTCCACATCCTTTGAATGCTATTGATAGCAATACCAAATTGCACAACCTTTCTCCAGTCATTAAATTTTTAATTTGGAAAAACTTCTCTGCAGAATCAGAAACAAAAGCATGCAGATTTTGAAATGAGCTACAAATGAATCATAAAGATGTTGTATATGAGAAAAAACATAATTGAAGAAAAATGCATGAAATATTTAATCCCATCATATACATTTGCATCACTCATAATTTTTGTCTTTTAAAATTAATATCCACCTCATAAGTCAGTCTTTCTTTTATTGCCCATTGGAACATTTCAGTGTTAGAACATTAAAAGGAATACTATGAATACTGGTATGCTGTCATTTTATTTTAAGTCTCTCTTCAGTTGAGACAAAACCTTGACCTCACACAGAAAACACAATATAGTTCCTTTAGAAATTAGTTTAAGTGGTATTTCTATGTCAATACATAATAGGCAGAGTTTTATTTTTCTGTTTTAATTTTTGTATCTATTGGGATGTTGCATTTGTCACATATTTCACGGAAGTTTATTAAGAAAGAATAATAAGAAAACTCATTGTTTTAAATAATATGGGTTTTTTTTAACTTCTTAGATGATGTTGAAAGAGTATTCCCTAAATACAACTGAAAATAATAGACATTGATGTAAAACAAATAAAATAACCTTGATAAAAGATAGAATATTATTAAGGACCTTTGATCCCCCCCCCAAAAAAAATGATGTTGAGCACCCTGCATTTTTTTTTTGACTCACCTATTCCAACCTGAGTGGTGGAGAAGCCAGAAATCTACCCAAACCATCATACTCAGATAACCACTCCCCAAAACATGTTCACTCTAAAGAATCATGAAGGAGATAGCATATCAGGACAGAAATCTTTAAAGAGATCACTGTTTTATTGCAGTCAAACATTAAAGAAAAAACTATGGCTCAAATTCCAACCAACCAAAAAAGGCTGAGTGAGGGGCCTCAGCTTTATCTTAATGGGGCTATAACGGGGTTTTCCAATTCCCTCACTAGGGTAGTATCCAAAAAGTTCTAGCAGGAAGCTATGGATTTTTTTCATCCCACTAGGCAATAGTTTGCATTTCCCTAATTGCTAGAGATGTTGAATACTTTTTTGTATATATACATTGACCATCTGTATTTCTTTTTCTATGAAGTGCCTGTTCATTTCCTTCGCCCATTTATTGATGGGTTATCTGTTTTATTATTATTATTATTTGGTGTTAAGTTTGTTGAGTTCTTTGTATATCTTGCAGAATAATGCTGTATCTGAGGTGCAAGTAGCAAAGCTTTTCTTCCATTCTGTGTTCACATTCTTGATTGTTTCTTTTGCTGTAAAGAAGCTTTTTCATTTAATACTATCCCATTTATTGATTCTTTTTTGATACCTTAATTTATCTATTTTATTTTTATCTATCTATCTATCTATTTATTTTTAAGTGATACTGAGGATCAAACCCTATTCCTCACACATACTAGGCAAGTACTCTACCACTGAACTACAACCCCAGCCCCATTTATTGATTCTTTTTTTTTCTTTTTTTATTGGTTGTTCAAAACATTACAAAACTCTTGACATATCATATTTCATACATTAGATTCAAGTGGGTTATGAACTCCTATTTTTACCCCAAATACAGATTGCAGAATCACATCGGTTACACATCCACATTTTTACATAATGCCATATTAGTAACTGTTGTATTCTACTACCTTTCCTATTGATTCTTCATTTTCCCTTTTGCACTTTATGAGTCTTGTTGAGGAAGTCAGTACCTAAGTCAGTACCTAATAGAGAGTTGGGCCTATATTTACATCTAGCAGGTACAGACTTTCTGGTCTAATGCCTATGTTCTTTATGTACTTTGAGTTGAGTTTTGTGCAGAGTGAAAGACAGGGTTAAATTTTATTCTACTACATATGAATTTCCAGTTTTCCCAGCATCATTTGTTGAAGAAGCTTTTTCCAATGTATGTTTATGGCATCTTTGCCTAGTGTAAGATTATTGTATTCATGTGGGTTTGTCTCTGTGTCTTCTGTTCTGTTCCATTGGTCTTCATGTCTGTTTTGGTACCAATGCCATGATATTTTTGTTACTATATAGCTCTACAGTATAATTTAAGGTCTGGTATTGTAATAGCTTCTGCTTCACTTTTCTTGCTAAGGATTGCTTTGGCTATTCTGGGTCTCTTATTTTCCCAAATAAATTTCATGACTGCTTGTCTAGTAAAATGAAGAACATCATTGGAATTTTAATAAGAATTCCATTAAATCTGTATAGTGCTTTTGGCAGTATGGCTGTTTTGACAATATTAATTCTGCCTATACAAGAACATGGAAGATCTTTCCATCCTCTAAGGTCTTCTTCAGTTTCTTTCTTTAGTCTTCTATAGTTTACATTGTAGAGGTCTTTCATCTCTTTTGTTAATTGATTCCCAAGTACTATTTTTTTGAGGCTATTGTGAATGGGTAGTTTACCTAATTTCTTTTGCAGGTATTCAGGTGGTTCATCACTGATGTATAGGAAAGCAATTGATTTATGGGTGTTCATGTTATATCCTGATACTTTGCTGAATTTGTTTATGAGTTTAAGAAGCTTAGGTATAGAATTATGTCAGCAAATAGAGATAGTTTAAGTTCCTCTTTTTCAGTTCGTATCTTTTAAATTTCTTTCTCTTGTCTAATTTCTCTGGCTACAATTTCCAGGATTATGTTGAATAAAAGTGGTGTAGGAAGGCATCTTACACCACTTTTATTTTAGAGGGAATGCTTTCAGTTTTCTCCATTTACAATTATGTTATCTTTGGGCTTAGTATATATAAAGCTTTTACTATGTTGAGGTATGTTCTTACTCTCCGTAGTTTTTCTAGTGTTTTGAGCATGAATGGATGCTAAATTTTGTCAATTTTTTTTCTGTATCTATTGAGATAATCATGTGATTCTTGTCATTAAGTCTATTGATGTGATGAATTACATTTATTGATTTTTGTATGTTGAACCAAGCTTGTATTCCTGGGATGAACCCCACTTGATCATAGTGCACTATGTTTTTAATTTGTTTTTGTATGCAATTTGCCAGGATTTTATTAATAATTTTGGTATGAAAGTTCATCAGGGATATTGGTCTCAAGTTTTCTTTCCTTGATATGTCTTTGTCTGATTTTGGTATCAGGGTGATCCTAGCTTCATAAAATGAGTTTGGAAATGTTCCCTCCTTTTCTATTTCATGGAATAATTTGAGAAGGATTGATTAGTTCTTTGAAGGTTTGGTAGAACTTGACTGAGAATCCATCTGGTCCTGGCCTTTTCTTTATTGATAGGCTTTTGATGGTGTCTTCAATTTCAATGCTTGAAATTGATCTGTTTAAATTATCTATAAACTTGGGAGTGCAGATATCTCAAAGAGCTGCTGATTTCATCTTGAGGGGGTTATATGCCTAGAAAAGGAATTGCTGGGCAATATGTTAGCTCTGTTATTTTTATTTTCATTTATTTTTTTTTTTATTTTTAAGAAAAGCCTCCACTGTTTTCCATAATGGTTGCATCTATTTATTTCCATGCAAAGTGCAAGAATTTCTCTTCTCCATACCCTTGCCAATACTTGCTATCTTTTGATGACAAGCATCCTAACAGGTGTGAAGTGCTATGTCATTGTAGGTTTGTTTGTATTTCCCTTTTGATAAGTGATGCCGAACATTATTTTATACACATATTTATTATTTAAATGTCTTTTTTGTTCTTTGATTATTTAAAAGATTGGCTCATTTTTATTGAAATTGATATGTGCTCCTTTATATTTTTTATATTGATCCCTTCTCATATATGTGGTTCCCAAATATTGTTTCACAATCTGTAGGCTTCATTTGTTGATAGTTTCCATTCATTTGTTGATACATTTTCTGTGCTACACAGAAGGCATTCAGTTTGATGAAATCCCACTATTTCTGCTTTGTTGCCTGAATTTTGGGGTTCATGCTCAAAGAAATCTTTTCTCAGATCAATGTCATGCAATCTCCTTCCCAAAGTCATGTTCCAGTATTTTTTACAGTTTT